AATTAATAATAATAATAATAATAATAAATAAAATATTTATTTAAAAAACAATGTTTAAAGACAGCCCACTTTTTTTCTTCATTGGCTCTTATAGGATGCGTTACAGGAGATGTATAATCAGAAGGGTGTGTTTCCTGGGGATCAGTTTAAACCATCCAGAAGGCCATGGACTCTCCTGAATTTCCTCTTCTGGGCCACCTTTCTCCTCTCTCCACTCTTCAGTTTTGTCTTGGGTGTCTTTGCAAGTGGATCCCCCCTTCTGATCCTGACATTCTTGGGATTTGTAGGCGCAGGTAAGGAGCATGAATGTTCAGAGCTCACATTCTAGGGAACTCCTGTATATCAGCCTCAGTATCTAGGACTGACAACTCATCCCCACGGCCACAGAACCTCAGGGAAGTGGGGACCAAGCCAAGCCTTTCGCGCCTCAGAGCATGTTCTCTTACCCCGACATTGCCCAGTGCTTTGTGAGGTTGCCACATCAGGGTCCTGAGCTGCTGCTGTGTGGGGCTCTCAGGGTTGGGCTCTGCAGGCCAAAGCAGGACGTTGGCCTTATCCAGCACTACCTGTTGACCTTCAGTGGCTCTGCCACTGTGCACCTGTCCTGAGCACATGCTAGCCACCTGCTGGGACTCCTCGGAGCCCTTTCTTTGTGCTGTGAACACAGCACTCTCCCACCCCTGGAGGCTAATGGGATTTCTGTAGATGGAAAGGCTTTGTTGCCCATGAGCCAGGTCATCTCCTGATCCCTCCTGGGGTGTGAGGGTGCCCCCCGGGGTCAGTGACTGCCAGTGTCCTCTTCTGCTGAATGACACTTCAACTGGGACCACCCACGAACAGGGCATGACCTAGGCCACCTGTTTCCCTGGGACCACTGACCTGGCCACCCAGAAGAACAGGGCAGGGGGGACAGTCTGAGGCTGGAGGAAAAGGGTGGGCAGAATGATCAATTTAACCTGTTCTCTCTCTCTCCTATTTTAAAGCTTCCTTTGGAGTCCGCAGACTGATAGGAGTGACTGAAATAGAAAAAGGCTCCAGCTACGGAAACCAAGAATTTAAGAAAAAGGAATAATTAATGGCTGTGATTGAACACACATAACCTGACGGTGGTATCCAATTAACTCAATTAAAAACAACAACACACACAGAGCAGGGGGAAAAAGACACTTAGAAACTATTTTTCTTATTAACTGGTGACTAATATTAACAAATAAAACTTGAGCCGAGCACTCAGAAGGCCTGCCAGATGAAGACAGTGGCTTCTCCCTCCAGGCCTGCATCCCTGGGGGGTGCCGCTACCCGCAGGGCGGTGGTCCCCAGCGGGCCACCCATCACGCCATCTGCGAGAACTCTGCCTCCGCGAGGGAGCCTTTGGCCGCTTTCTCTTTCTAACCTAGATCGGTTTTCTGTTTGTTTGTTTTTACCAGTTATTTCGGGAACTTAACCTGGCCCCTCACCTCTTCCCCGCACTCCCAAAAAACTGTATCTTAATGAATTTTCCACTGTCCTCCTGGGAACAGATTGACTGGGTCCCAGTTCCCCCAAGAGTTCGTTCATCCCACTCGCTTGGCACGGCACCTTCGCTTCTAGACTGTGGGGGTGGGTTGCGTGGTGGAGTCCTCTTAGTGATAAGCACATACTGAATGTAAAGCGGGTGGATTCCTACCGATCTAGTGTATCACTTCTGCCCACCCCGGGGCGGGCCGAGGGCGATTGCCCATTTTATTTTCTGGAACATTGTCCAGATTTCCTACTTAATCCTGTGTGTAAACTCCTTAAATCTGTTTTTAAAGTGAAAAGCCCCTGAGAAATTGGTGAAATGCAGGATCTTCGTATACGTTATGCCGCTCCATCCCCCTCCTCGCTGTGTTCTTGGGACCCCATTCCCTCTGTGCTGTAATGGGGAGGGAGGGAGGCCATGCCAGGTCAACCCTAGCAGGCCCAGAGCCTAGAGCAAGGGACCCAGTAGAGACCCTCCAGCCCTGAGCCCATGGGACTCTCTAGGATGCTTTCCAAAAGTGACTGCACCATTCGATCTCATTTTAAAGGTAGCTGGAGTACACGGATACTGAGTGTGGTAGCTTTTAGAGATTTTATTTTTACTATTGGCTGTTGGTGGCTCTCAGCTTCCTGCTGGGGACCAGAGGTGGGGATGCCTTCCTCTCCTCTGCTTCCCTCCCCCAGCCTGTCCACTGCGTCCTTGGGGAGGAGCGCCTCCGTCCAGGCAGGTGTCTTAACAGCCCTGGATCCCAGCCAGGGTGGCTCCCGTGTGCTGACAGAGAAGGGGCAGCTCAGCCTGCACTTGCTGACTCCGCCTCAAGGCGGTCCCTCTGGCAGGTGAGAGGTGCTCTTTCCAGAGGCCCATATGCTTGGCCCGGGACAGAAGCTCTGGGCTGATGGGAGTGGAAGAGGCTCTCCCAACTGACCCTGGAGGGCCCAACCTCCCGCTCCGCTCAGCTGAATCCTCCCACTGTCAATCCACCTGCATTTGGCTTTTTTTCTTAAACATTCAACTTGTTTTAGCCATTCTCCCCTCATCTTTTTCAGCAAGGGAATAATGAAAGCTAAAAAAAAAACAAAAAACAAAAAATGAGTGTTGTCTCTGACCTGTCATGACAGGTATTCTGAATAGAGAAGCAAGTGGCATGTTCTAGAACAGAATGGAGGAAAGAAGCATGGACAAAGCTGTAAATTAACTTGAGGGAGTCAGCATAAAGCAGTTTCAAGGGTTAGGGGAGCTGTGCCGTGGCAGTGCCATTGCTACTGAGTTCCATGTGGGTCACCTTGCTGGAGTGGAACGCTGCCGAGGTCCCACGGTGTGAGAAGGGACGGTGGGCAAGCACAGTCCCTTGCTGGAGTGGAGCGCTGCCGAGGTCCCACGGTGTGAGAAGGGACGGTGGGCAAGCACAGTCCCTTGCAAGGCTGTAGGGTCCACCAAGACACACTTTCAAACACTTTTGTCTTAGCAGGGAGCATCTCTTCCACCAGGGAGAGTGACCACTGGAGATGGGTCTTATTTTTCTTCACAGAAGATGCTGCTCATCTGTCTCTGTGTGTTTTAGACCTGTGTCATTTGCTAATTCACTAACATCCACAGAAATCCTCAAGGAAAGTTGGGGGGTACTTCCATGCACATGCATGACCTGGAAAATGCAAATTTAGACCTATTGCTATTTAATGAATAGTTTTTGTTTCCCAGAGAAGTTTCCTCCCTTTGAAACAAATACATAATGTGTGAATCCTGCACCGAGTCAGTGAATGGGCTGCAGAAAATCCTGGCTAAGTGGTGGCTGAGACTACGAGTGAGGGTTTTGAATCTCGTGTGATTTCCTTCAGATCAACGCAGCTCAGCCTGTGCATCTGAATAGCAAGCCCTCTGAGAGCAATAAAAACTACACCTTAAATGTTGGATTTTTTTTTCTGGAGGGGGGTTGATTTTGCTTTTTATCCTCTTAGAAGGAAAAGGGGAAGAAAGCTTTAATTTTTAAAATTAAATTAATCCCAAAATGGCACCCCCTCCCCATTGTCCTTTGTATCCAACTCCTGAGCATCATCCGTTGCTGATGTTCTGTTCCAATTCAGGCTGAATGTTTGTGCTGAAGCCACTGTGTAGCCCTCAGGCAGTCCGTGCTGGTCACGGTTGGGGCGGGGACACCCCAGGCCTGGAGGTGCTGGGTCCACCCAGCTGAAGACAGGGAGGGTGCGGCTGGCCCTGGCTGCTAATCCTGAAGTCTGAGCTCTGAGCCTGGGACTTGGTCTCTCAGCTCAGGCTTAGATGCCACTGGCCCCGCGGGGCCATGGGGCCTCCTGCCCACGCTCCCGAGGGCTCCGTCCACTGTCACCATCGTCTTCCCCTCGTATATCCCAGCTGTGGCCAGTGAGTCGAGTTTGGGCCGTGGGCCTCCCTGGAGCCAGCTCCTGAGCAGATGAGTGGTGCTGTGCTGAGCTGGGAGCAGGCTGCAGTTCTTCTGGCCCCTTCTAGGAAGTCCCAGAGGGTTCTAAGATGTCTGCAGCATTTCAGGGTGCCTTCTTGGAGCCACCAGCATCTTGGGGCCTCTGGCTCCTCTTTGGGGTCTCTTTTAGCACCGTAAGCAGTGACCATTCCCCCGAAAGACAAGGAGACTGCTCATTTTGTAGATTTGGGAACACTGTCTCTTTCTCACAACCAAGGCCTTGAGAAGGGCTTGCAATAGCCACTCACTGATAAGACTTTTAACCCAGAGAATGAAAAGGCACTGGCTGCCCAGTCCTTAGTGATGGCTTACCAGACGCAGAGCCCAAATTGAGGGGCTTTAAGGTCCCTCCCCTCAAGAACTAGAGTCTGGTTAAAGAGATGAACTCTGAGTATATAACCACTAAATAGTAATATGAAATGACAATGTATGAAGCACTTTCTTGTAAAAAAAATAACACAGGTATTATCATTGATTTTAAATCTCTCTGCCTCGTCTGTCCCCGTTACCCCCACCCCACCCTTTCTCGTGCGCCATGGCATGAGCCTT